TAGCCTCTTTAATTCCATCGATATTTCCACTTTTCCATTTTATATTACTCACTCATCCAGTTTCTTGCGCTCCTTGGTCTATTTTTATTCACTTCAATCAAGGACATTTAACTTTGATCTATTTCTTTTTTGCTACTTTTTAATATTCCCTCAACAAGCGTTTATACTTAAAAACAGATTATTTTATAAAGAAATTACAATAGATGGAGAAAGGATATTTGTCTATCTGCTTCATTCTTTATCTCCCACTCTACCCCAGAGATGTGTTTGAATCTTTGACTTGTGTTTATAAACAATTAACTGTTTCCTTTCTAATCCAGTATAAAATACTGATAAAATAAATAATTACGTCCAAAATTAATCTGCCTTTTAAAAACTGAACTTTAAATATGAAACAAAACTCACAAGACCAGAGAATATAAGAACAGAATTAGGCCATTCGGCCTATCGAGTCTGCTCCACCATTTGATCATGGCTGATATGTTTCTCAACCCCATTCTCCTGCCTTCTCCCTTCAACCCTTGATCCCCTTATGAATCAAGAAACTTTCTATCTACCTCTTAAATATACTCAATGACTTGGTGTCCACAGCCTATTGTTGCAATGAGTTTCATAGATTCACCACCCTTTGGCTGAAGAAATTCACAGTAGCTCAGTGGTTACCATTGTTGCCTCACAGCACTAGGGACCCAGGTTCAATGAGGACTCCGAAGTCCTTTTGTGCTTCAGATTTCTGAAGACTTTCCCCATTTATAAAATAGTCTACCCCTTTCGTCTTCCTGTCAAAGTACATAACCTCACTCTTTCCCACATTGTATTCCACCTGCTAATTTGCCCACTCTCCTAACCTGTCCAATTCCTTCTGCAAACTGCCTGCTTCCTCAACGCTACCTGTCCATCCACATAGACTATTTAAAAATTACTGTAAATTCTATCTGAATAAAACTTCTGAGATTTAGTTTGCTACATTATTTTCCAAGAAATTATTATATATTTATAAAAGAATCTCAGGTGTTCTGGGAACATAGGACTGGGAGAAGGCCATTTGGCTACCTTGCCATTCAATATGGTTATAGCTGATTGAACATGTCACAGCCTTGTACCCACCCCATCGCCTTTATGTGTGTCATCGGTAATCAGAAATCTATCACTTTCTACATTAAACGTTCTTAAAGACTCAGCTTCCACATCCCTCATGGTAGAGAATTCCAAAGGTTCATAAACCTCTGAGTTAAAAAAAGTGCTCCTCCTCTTGGACTTAATTGGCATCTCCCTTATTTTTAAATTGTGCCCCCTGGTTCTAGATTCCCAACACAAGGGAAATATCTTACCTTCATCTACCCTGTCCATACCTTTAAGAACATAAGAAATAGGAGCAGGAGTAGGCCATCTGCCCCATAGAACCTGCTCTGCCATTCAATAAGATCATAGCTGATCTCATCGTGGACTCAGCTCCACTCACCCACCTGCTCGCCATAACCCTTAATTCCTTTACTGATCAAAAATCTATCTATCATTGCCTTAAAAACACTCAATGAGGAAGCCTCAACTGCCTCACTGGGCAGGGAATTCCACAGATTCACAACCCTTTGGGTGAAGAAGTTCCTTCTCAACTCAGGCCTAAATCTGCTTCCCCTTATTTTGAGGCTGTGTCCCCTAATTCCTTGAAATTTTGTAAGTTTCAACGTGATCTCCTGTCACTTTTTTGAAACTCTACAGAATACAGACTCAATTTTCACAATCTCTCTTCATAGGATGATCCTGCCATTCCTGGGACAAGTCCAATGAACCTTCGTTGCATTTCTTCTATGGCGTTATTATCTTTCCTGAGAAAAGGAGATCAAAACTGCACAGTGCTCCAAGTGCGGTCTTACCAAGCTCCTACTCAATTGAAGCAAGTCTTCACTATTCCTGTACTCAAATTGTTTTACAATCCTAATAGCTTGTTGCACCTGCATGTCAGCCTTCAGTGACTTATTGACAAAAACAACTAGATCTCTTTGTACATGGACTCTTCCAACTTTTTACCATTTATGAAATACTCGTACACATCTATTTCTTCAAAGTGGATAACCTCATTTTTTTTACATTATATTCCAACTTCCATGTTCTTGCCCAATCACTAAACTTGTCCAAGTTGTCCTGAAATTGCTTTCCACCTTCCTCAAAATGCACATTCCCAATTGGCTTTGTATCACCTGAAAACATAGAAATGATACATTTGGTCCCAGCCTCTGCTGGGCCCAAGAACTGATCCAAGTTAATCAAAGATGATTTCTCATTAGCAAATCTGTGCCAACTCTACCCAATCAGATCATTATCTGATGTCTATCGAGGAGTCTATTTATCCCATACTTTATAATAGATTCTAGCATTTTCTCGACAGCTGATGTAAAGCTAACAGGACTGTAGTTGCTAATTTTCTCTCCTGCTCCCTTAAGTAATGGAGTGATGTTTGCTATATTCCAATCTGTTTCTTACTGCTTAAATAATTCTATTCATACATGTTTAGTGTACAAAACCTGTGATCTTAGTTTGCCTCACAATCAGAAAATATGTCTCTTATAAAACATGGATGAGCTTCTCTTCAGAGCTTTGTTGATTAATGCAATATGAAATCTAAAACTGAGCCATGCAGATAAAGAGTACCCAGGTTGAATTTTCTCTGCCCAACTGGATGATTTCAGTCAACTTGACAATTGAAATGGCTTTGGTGCCTTGGATCCAGGAGGGGAAAACTTCAGCATGGGACAGTGACGTGCCAGAGATTTCACATATCTAGATATGAAATAACAACATATTTGGGTTGGTTACTTCTGCAGTTAAACAATCTTGTTCAGTAGGTTCACACATAGTAAACACTAGTTTCCATTGAACTGTACCCCTTAGCTCCAGAAGTGTGTCATAACATTTCTGAACAGGTTGATTTAAAAAATAATTTAACAATCATCCCTTCCAAAATGGTCAAAGCAAACTACATGCTGTCACCTGTGTGAACCAAAATGTGAGTTAAATTGCTGCCTACAGCAGAGAAACAGACAGATCTACAGCAATGTGGTTGACTGTCAACTGCCCTCTGAAATGACCTAGCAAGGCTCTCAGTTGTATTAATTATGAAGTCTCAATAAAGAAATGAAACTGGTTAGAAGCCTGAATCGACCTCGGCACTAGAAATGACAATGGCCAAAAACAGCCCTGTCGACCCTGCGAAGTCTTCCATATTAACATCTGGGGGTCTAATGCCAAAATTGGGAGAGCTGTCCCACAGACTAGTCAAACAACAGCCTGGCATTATCTGTAAGGTATGATTCCATGAGTATGACTATGTCCCAGGCGTCACTATCACCATTCCTGGATATGTCCTGTCCCATCGGCAGGACAGACCCAGCAGAGTTGGGATGCAACATTGACTCCGGATCCCATTAAGTCTCAGGGCATCAGGTTAAACATAAGCTGTTTACCATGTACCATCCTCTCTCAGCTGTTCAATCAGTACATATTGAACAACACTTGGAGAAAGCACTGAGGGTGGCAAGGGTGCAAAATATACCCAGGGTAGCGGTTTTCAATGCCCACCACCAACAGCAATTTGGCAGCAGCACTACTGATCAAACTGGTAGGGGCTAAAGGACACAACTGCTTGACTGGATCTGCGGCAGGTGGTGAGGGAATCAATAAGAGCAAAAAACACACTTGACCTCGTCCTTACCAATCTGTGGGTGTATATGTACGTGACAGTATCGGTAAGAGTGACCACCGCATTCCTTGTGGAGATGACATGCCGCCTTCACATTAAGAATACGCTCCATTGTGCTGTAATGCATTATTACTGTGTTAAATGGGTGTGGATGTGCACAGATCATTGAAGGTGGCAGGACAGGTTGAGAGACCAGTTCATAAAGTGTACAATGCTCTCGGCTTTATTAATAGGCACAAAGTACAAGGTCAAGGAGAAGATGTTGAAATTTTGTAAGATGATAGTTAGACCTCAGCTGGAGTATTTTGCACAATGTGGGCAGCACATTATAAGTAAGATGTGAATGCACTGGAGAGAATGCAGACGAATTTATACAAATGGTTCCAGGAATGGACAAACTTCAGTAATAAGAATACATTTAAGAAGAAAAGTCTGAGAGGAGATTTTAAAGGGGTTTTCAAAATCATGAATGGGATGGACAGATAGGAAGAAACATAAAAGGGACAAAAATGAGAGAGCATAGATTTAAAGTGATGTGCAAAAGAAGCAAGAGCAATGTCGGGGAAAAACATTTTTCACAGTGTGAGTAGTTAGGGTATGGATTGTGGGGCCTGGAAATGTAGACGAGGTAGGTTCAATTGATGCATTCAAGAGGATATTGGATGATTATTTGAAATGGTGTTCAAAGGTCTAGAGAAAAAGCACTTGGCATGGGGTAATGATGCTCATTTGAAGAGACAGCGCAGGCACAATGGGCTGAATGGCTTCATTTAGAGGTGCAGCAATTCTGTGACTCTGAGACGAGAGGGAGATTGGAGATGGGGCAGTAATTTTCAAGAATACAGTGGTCGAAGGTTTATTTTTTGAGCAGGTGGTGATGCTGGCCGATTTGAGGAGGAGGTACAGAATTTGGAAAGAGAGAGACCTTTGAACAAATTCAGCAACACAAAGAGGTTAAGGGATCAGGCATTTTGTAGCAATACGGTCAATGGACCAGGTGGTGGGATGGATGAACAACAGCAATACTGACAGCGTGTGATGGGACAGAGGAGAAAGTGGTGCTTGGGCAAGGAAGATCTGTTGAGGCACTTTGCTGCCAAAAGGAGAGAAGAAGCTGATTAGATGATCTTAATCTTAGTGACAAAGAAGTTCCAGGAGCTCCTCGCACTTGTTATTGGAGGTGAGGATGGAGGAGACAGGAGAGGGACATCCCAGCAAAAGGAACTAATTTCTGTTAGCAATATTTAAAAGACTTGACAAACTATGTTGAACACAAAGCTGATTTATTTGACTTTTATCCAGAATATTAATGCCTATGACTGGACAGAAGTTTATTAGTATCAGCAGGAACCCAATGAATTTGGTGCAGTCTTTGATCTGATTAACACCAGAATCTCATCACTGCAGTTATTTATGAATTCGCTGGTGTCTCACCAAGGTGGATGACTTAGTAAATCCCATTCCACACTCGGAGCAGTTGAATGGCCTCTCCCCAGTGTGAACTCGCTTATGCTCTACTAGACTGGATGAAGTCGTGAATCCCTTTCCACACAAGGAGCAAGAGAATGGCCTCTCTTGAGTGTGAACTCGTTGGTGTCTCAGCAGGCTGGAAGACTGAGTAAATGTGTTTCCACACTGTGAGCAGGTGAATGGTCTCTCCCCAGTGTGAACTCGCTGGTGTCTCAGCAAGCTGAATGATTGAGTGAATCCCTTCCCACAATCGGGGCAGGTAAATGGCTTCTCATTACTGTGAACCTGCTGGTGTTTCTGCAGGTTGGGGAACTGAGCGAATCCCTTCCCACACTCGGAGCAGATGAACGGTCTCTCCCCAGTGTGAACTCGCTGGTGTACTGTGAGGTGAGATGATCGTCTGAACCCAGACCCGCACTGAGAGCACCTGAACGGTCTGTCATCAATGTGAACACCTTGATGGCGAATCAGTTCTCCAGAACTTTTATAGCATTTCCCACAGTCTGGACACTTGAAAGGTCTCTCGTCAGTGTGAACTCGCTGGTGTGTCAATAAGTTGGATGACAGAGTGAATCCCTTCCCACACTCTGGGCAGGTAAATGGCCTCTCTCCAGTGTGACTGCGTCGATGAGTTTCCAACTGAGATGGGGATCTGTACCCCTTCCCACAGTCTTTGCATTTCCATGGCTTCTCCCCAGTGTGACTGCACTTGTGTCTCGACAGGCCAGATAATTGACTGAAGCCTCGTCCACACACAGAACACGTGTATAGCTTCTCTCCACTGTGAACAGTGCTTTTACCTTCCATGTTCACAATCCAATGTTATTCAGGTTGTGGTAAATTGGGTGACTCCATCAGATCTTGATTTGATTTTGGGTTTCAGTTTTCCGACTTCAAATCCTCCTGTTCTAATTCCCTGGGAAATTGATTTGAAACAGAAAAAAAGGGAATGAGAGAAATCCCAAACAAATGCAGGTCATGAACTTGATCTGGATGTATCTAGTAATGTGTGGGAATGGCACAAGTAAAACGTTGACCATAAAAACCGTAATACTGTCATACCTGTCCACCCTGCCTTGGCTTACACAAGACTCCAGTCTCTACATAAGTGAAAGAAACAGAGGTGAAGAAGTAGGGGTTCCACATCCTGCAACATGACCAGGACTTTGACAGAAAATCCCAAACAACCTCCATCACCTAGAAACACTACATCCACAGCCAGATGTGAACTCCATCAGCTACAAGTTCCTCTCCAATTCACACACTTCCTGACTTGGCCAACCTGCAGAATGGATGAGAAGAAATTTCCTCTGTTTAAACATTGGGAAGACTGAAGCCATTGTCTCAGTCTCTGCTACAAAAGCCAATCCCAATCCTGTCTCCGAGCCTTTGAGGCTGAACTGAATTGTCATAATCATGGTGAAACGTTTCACTCTAAGGGGTGTTCTGACCACAAATCTACATCATCTAAATGTCTTTGCACTTTAGTGAAGGAATCAGGGAGGGTGTCACTCAACTGTAAAATTGCTAATGCAATGCCCTTGTTTAAGAAGGGAGGGAGACTGAAGACTGGAAACACAGGCTGGTTAACCTGATCTCAGTAGTTGGTAAGATTTTACAGTGCATCATTAAGGATAAGATTACGGAGTAGTCGGAAGTCCATGATAAAATAGGGCTGAGTTAGTGGGGCTTTGTTAAGGGGGTAGATCATGGCTAACAAAGCTGTTACAACTTTTTGACGTGGTAATGAGCAAGTCAGACAAAGGAAAGCCAGTGGGCATGATCTATTTGGATTTCCAGAAGGCCTTTGACAAGGAGGCTGCTAAAAAATATAAAGCACATGGTATTAAGGGCAAGGAACTGGTATGGATAGAGGACTAGCTGACTGGCAGAAGGCAGGGAGTAGAGACAAAGGGATGTTTTTCAGGATGGCAGCCGGTAACTGGTGGAGTTCTGTACGTGTCTGTGTTGGGACCACAATTATTCATGTTATACATTAACGATCTGGATGAAGGAACTAAAGGCATTGTCGCTATGCTTGCAGATGACATAAAGCTATGTGGAGGGATAGTGTTGAGGAAGCAAGGAGGCTGCAGAATGATTTGCTCAGGCTAGGAGAGTGAGCAATGAAGTGGCAGATGGAATACAATGTGGGAAAGTGTGGGGTTATGCACTTTGATAGGAAGAATAAAGGCATAGACTATTTTGGAATTGGGAAAAGGCTTCAGAAATCTGAAACACAAAGAGACTTAGGAGTTCTAGTTCAGGACTCTCTTAAAGTTAAGATGCAGGTTCAGTTGGCAGTTAGGAAGATAAATGCAATGTCAGCATTCATTTCAAGAGGGTTGGAATACAAGAACAGAGATGTACTGCCAAGGCTGTATAAGGCTCCAGTTATACTGCATTTGGAACACTGTGAGCAGTTTTGCACCCCATACCTAAGGAAAGATGTGCTGGCCTTGAAGGATGTCCAGGGATGAAGGGCTTCTCATATGAGGAGTATTTGAGGACTCTAGGTCTGTACTCAATGGAGTTTAGAAGGATGAGGGAGGATCTGATTGAAACTTACAGAATACTGACAGGCCTGGAGAGAATGGACGTAAGAGAGACTGGGACCCAAGGGCACTGCCTCAGATGAAGGGGAGAACCCTTTTTAATTCCAAAAAGGAGGATCTTCTTCAGCTAGAGGGTAGTTAATCTGTGGAACTCATTGCCACAGATGGCAGTGGAGGCAAAGCTATTGAGTATATTTCAGAGAGAGATAAATATATTCTCGATTAGTAAGGAGATCAAGGGTCACAAAGATAAGGCAAGAGAATAGGGTTGAGTAACACTGCAGCCATGATGAAATGGTGGAGCAGACTTGATGGACCGATTGGATTAATTCAGTTTGTGGTTTTAATAAAAACAGAAAATGCTGGAAAGATCCAACAGGTAAGGCTGCACTGATGGAGAAAAAGATTGTAAAGGTTTCATTTCAGGATGATAATCCCTCAGAAATGAGGAAAGAGAATGGAGGGAGTGAAAGGCAACAGGGGGTGCTGGGGAAATGGGTGAGAGGAAGAAACAAAAGAGTAAGTCTGTAATCAGGCAGATCCACCTAAGTAACATCGGCCAACTTTGCTTCTGTTTTAGCTGTTTCTGAAACTCTCATCAGTCCCTTTTTTACCGTGTACACTTGATGATCCTAACACCTTCCTATCCTAACAAACTTGGGATCATATAATCTCTGCTGCCTTCTTCCTCACACCATGACCCTTGTATCCATAGAACCTAGAACATAGAACATTACAGCGCAGAACAGGCCTTTCGGCCTTCGATGTTGCGCCGACCTGTGAAACCAATCTGAAGCCTATCTAACCTACATTATTCTATTATCATCCATATGTTTATCCAATGACCATTTAAATGCCCTTAAAGTTGGCGAGTCTACTACTTTTGCAGGCAGGGCATTCCACGCCCTTACTACTCTGAGTAAAGAACCTACCTCTGACATCTGTCCTATATCAATCCCCTTTCAATTTAAAGCTATGGCCCCTCGTGCTAGCCATCACCATCCGAGGAAAAAGGCTCCCACTGTCCACCCTATCTAATCCTCTGATCATCTTGTATGTCTCTATTAAGTCACCTCTTAACCTTCTTCTCTCTAACGAAAACAGCCTCAAGTCCCTCAGCCTTTCCTCATAAGACCTTCCCTCCATACCAGGCAACATCCTGGTAAATCTCCTCTGTACCCTTTCCAATGCTTCCACATCCTTCCTATAATGCGGTGACCAGGACTGTACACAATACTCCAAGTGCAGCCGCACCAGAGTTTTGTACAGCTGCAACATGACCTCATGGCTCCGAAACTCAATCCCTCTACCAATAAAACCTAACACACCGTATGCCTTCTTAACAACCCTATCAACCTGGGTGGCAACTTTCAGTGATCTATGCACATGGACACCGAGATCTCTCTGCTCATCCACACTACCAAGAATCTTACCATTAGCCCAGTACTCTGTATTCCTGTTACTCCTTCCAAAGTGAATCACCTCACACTTTTCTGCATTAAACTCCATTTGCCACCTCTCAGCCCAGCTCTGCAGCTTATTTATGTCCCTCTGTAACCTGCAACATCCTTCCACACTATCCACAACTCCACCAACTTTGGTGTCATCCGCAAATTTACTAACCCATCCTTCTGCGCCCTCATCCAGGTCATTTATAAAAATGACAAACAGCAGTGGCCCCAAAGCAGATCCTTGAGGTACACCACTAGTAAGTGAACTCCAGGATGAACATTTCCCATCAACCACCACCCTTTGTCTTCTTACAGCTAGCCAATTTCTGATCCAAACCGCTAAATCACCCTCAATCCCATGCCTCCGTATTTTCTGCAATAGCCTAACATGGGGAAGCTTATCAAATGCTTTACTGAAATCCATTGCTCCTTAACTCTGCCTACTGATCCTCCTGGTTAAGCAAATCCTCAATATTAAAATTCACCTCTGAAATACAACAAAGAACTGCAGATGCTGGAGATCTGAAGCAAAAACATAATTTGCTGGAGAAACTCAGCAGGTTCTAGCAGCATCTGTAAGAAGAAAGCAGAGTTAATATTTCAATCTGATGACTCTTCAAAGAGTTGGACATGAAGTGTTAACTCTACTTTCTTCCCCCAGTTTCTCCAGCAACTTCAGTTTTTGTTTAGAATTCACCTCCTTGTTCTTTAATTCCTCCACACGCTTTCCCTCTCCATTTCTACATATTCAATTTTTTCCCCACAGAAGAATCTCAATCCTATCACTTTCAAAAGCTGTCCGTATTCATGTTCTGATTAATCAAGTGACAATTTCAGATCTTGATCTGGTTGTTCTTTTGAGTATCCCATTGAGAAAAGTTTCTCTTCTGACCTCCTATAAAAGGAGCTCTCAAGAGGTGGGCACCGCGGGAGATACAGTTCTTTATTCCCTCCTCCAGCTACATTTTGATTTAGTCCCTCTCCTCGCTCCCTACCACGCCATCACTTTTGATGGTTTGCATTGCCTGTGCTTTGCATGTAAATATTGAATTGGCTGCATGCGTGTTTTTTTTACTGGCGGTGGATAGTGATTAAAAAAAAATGCAAAAGGGAAAGTCACCAAGATATCGCTCAGTTGTGTGTGATAACACTTCTGGTAGATCGAAAAAAAACAAAATTAACAGTTCACAAAATCCATCCCTATGAATCTAGGACCTACCACATTTTTTGGGGGTGGGTGAAGAGAGATGTAAGTAATGTGATAATATCACTGGATTAATAAAGCAGAGGTCTGGATTAAAGCTCCGGGAATGCAGGTTCAATTTAATCACAGCAGCTGGTGGAATTTAACTTCAGTGATGGATGTGGAAAATAAAGCCATCTCAGGAAAGGTGGCCATGAAACTCTTAAAAATTGTTGTAAAAGCCCGTGCTAGTAGGGGAGGGGATCTGTCATCCTTACCTGCTCTGGCCCACGTTGGACTGCCCATTCTCAGCTATCGCGCTTTCATTCTCTTCCCGGCCCCGAGAAACGCGCATGCGCATCACCAACTGCCCCCAACAAAGATGGCGGCCCTTGACCAAGGACCTTCACCGGGAAACGCGACATCAGCGACTACCCATTCGGGGTTAACCCGGGACCAGTCGTTCTTTATTCGGCCCTCGGCCTGTCACTACGTGTTTATGAAACCTGCCTGCTCACAACACCTCCTCCAATACCCTCCTACAATTGACTTTAGCTCACGGATTGGGCTTTCGAAATATTCGCGTCATCGCAACCGGGAATCCGCAAGGCGCATGCTCCAGCTCCTGCGCATAGACCCCACCCACAATGCGCAATCATCTCGTGTACGCAGGATAAGGCACAATGGGACCTTGGAACAGAAGAAGGCCATTCAGCCCATTACAACA